ATATATATATATATATAAAAGGTTCTCCTTACTCCGTATTCCTTTTAATAATGCGTATGATATGTGTGTGTATATATATATATATAAATGTAATAAATTATTGCAATTGAAAACGCTCAATAATACTCTATTACTGATTAATAACGTTTAGAAATTAGTAGATATATCAAATGTGATACTAAAATAAATTATTCTGAGTTCAATATCTCTGTTTCCACCGATCCAATCTAATAATTATAATTTTGCATAATTATTTCCAATAGGTAATCATTAAATACATTCAAATATTTATAGAAAAATGTATAACTAAACCAGTAAATAATCTTAGTTTCTTAATTAATTCCTTAATTAAGGATTTAATTTGTTAATTCGGATTTAATTTGTTAATCAAACTGATCAATATTACTTGTTTAGGAAACAGTTAATCCCCAAGCTTGCATCACATCTTCTCGACTCATGGGCCACAATCTCTTTAGTAACATCCATCCGGTTTTCTGTGTGGTCAGCAAATACTGATTTTCGGGATCGTGCAAGTGCGAGTAAGCGCCCATTATCAAGCTCTGGCATATCCTGGCGCATACGCTAATCTTAAGAATCTTCTTCTCTACGTCGGTCAGTTTCTTGATCTTTTCGTAACCTTCCACGACGTATCTACCTTTTTCTATATTGGCTGTTTGTAGGATCATGTAGCAAAGAACTACCGCTAGCTCAAAAATACAACAAGTCCTGTGACAGTCACCGAAATCGATCACAGCGACAATATCTTTACCGTCGGGACTTACAAGAATGTTATGCTCATTTAGATCACCATGTATGATCGTTTGTTCCAGCTGGTCTGTGATTGACAACACTTCTCTTTGGAAACTTACGATCACGTCGTGCACCAGCTGTTTATCCAACGAACTCTTGATTGCATACGTGAATTGCTGCACTCGCGGCACTGAAGTCAACATCCACAATGATTTGTGATTGTCGAAAGCGGGATGATTGAAGCCCGTGAGTATTTCATCGATTCTCGCGGTAAAGCTGCCGACCTTGCGCAACAATTCGTCGGTTATTTTTACATGGTACAATAACTCACCGGGACGATAGACTAACAGTCTCACGGCATACTTCTCCATGGTATTCTCGTTCTTCAGAGTCTCCAAAGAAAAGTACGCGCCGTTCATATTCTTAATCGGTAATGGGCAGCAGACATTTTGCTGATTGAGGAAAATCATTAATTCTGTCTGCGCTTCTATCACATCGGTCTTGCGAGAATCCAAGAAATTGATCACCTTAAGGACATAACCGGCCTTCTCTGGGCTGATTGCGTGTGGATTCACGGTCGTCCCATCACATATCATATGGTAATTGCGATCGTCGTAAGAGTTCAGTTCACGCACACTCGTCGCCCTCATACCGTAGAGTCGCTTCAGCAGTGCGACCGCTGTCTCCTCGGTTACGGGCGGACGTATATGCTGACCTGGGATGAGCAGCGTATCATTGTACTCCATACTGTCGCGATGCACGACGCAAAAATAACTGAGTTATTAAGGGAGAAGCCGGGACGATGAAAAAAGAAATACGTTCCCTGCACAGCGAAGAGAGAGAGAGCGAGAGGAAGAGCGTTTGGAACAGCGAACAAAGCCGTAGCTGGAATATCTTCTTTGTTCTTCGGTTGATTAATTGTTAAACTGTACAGATATAAACTACAGCTATAAAATTTTTGTATATTAGTGTAGAAATGAGAACAATTTATTAATTAATTGGGAACACCAGCAAATAAAAAATAAATTGTAATTAATAAAACTTGATATTGTTGCGATAACAAAGGCTGCTATTCATTTCTTATCAAATGGTAATTGGATTGTATTATTACTTTAATTTTATTTAAAACATATTTAGTGCACGCGAAACATACATATATACATTTTAAACATAATTTTCAACATCGAACAAATGAATAATTTATTTCGAAGAAGTAATATATAAATAAATTTGTCACATATTTTTTACAAATTAAAGTAAAAGAAAGCATTTACTGTTGTGTTCGGTAGATTCAACAAAGATAATAAGAAATTTTAAGTATTTTAAATACAAAGATACACATTTATAAATAACACCCGCAATAAGCAAGCGGATATTCGCGACCGCAGACATATGTATAAATATATCGACTTACCCGACTAAAGGACGTGTTTATTCAACCAAAGGAAGCGGCAAACTAAATTCTTGGATGGAACGGTTTGCTAAGCTAGACAAGCGATTATGTGTGCGGGGAGCGTAGTCCACGCTCAATCATCGTTGACATTCAGCACAACTGGAGGGTACAAACGCGCAATGATATTTACATCAGTAGTAATTGAGCATACACGATGCAGCACGATATAACGTATCGCGGTGACTAAATGATTCAATCTTATCAGTTGATAAAACCAACGGAGATAGCATTTGTGGAGTTATTACTAGAGTCTGACCGAAACCACTTTTTATCTCCGACTAAAACTGAAACGAATATTCAGTTTTTATTCAATTTCGGCCGAAACCGAAAACGAAACCGAAATTGGATAAATCTTACACCATATGATTTTCAGAGTCATTGAAAAATGTCAAAATATGTGAAATTTATGTACTTTTTAAAAATAAGATTTTATTAATGTCTTATTATTCCTTAAATTATAAGAAATTTTCTATAAGTTATAAGGAACTTCAGACACTAAACATATGGCGTTCTGGCAAGTAAAAAAGAATAAAGAAAAAAAGAAATAGCGCGTGATTTGCGGCAATCTGCGCCGATCAGCCAACAATACATGTAGTTTTTCGAATGCTCGCCAACGTGTTGAAATTTGTACAGTTTCGGTTTACTTATCGAAATTTTCTCTTAATTCTCGGCCGAAACCGAAAACAAACCAAAACTCTGATTTTTTTACTGAAACTGACTGAAATCGAAGTCGAAACCGAAATTTCAATCGGACTATAGTTTTTACCCAGTTATTATCTTTGAGATACATTAAATTGAGAGAGTTTACTCCCTTTGGTTTGGATAAAGCTAACCCACTCTTTCACAAAAGGATTGATAAGGCATGAGTATGAGACATTAGTTAGACACTATCTGAATTTCTTCATCAAATTGATTTTTATTCCTTACAACGCAATTTGTAATTATACATATTTACAAATAAATTCTTTCATACACACACACACACACATACACACACGCACGCACACGCACGCACACGCACGCACGCACGCACGCACACGCACGCACGCACGCACACACGCATATATATATATATATATATATATATATGTATATATATATATACACAAAAGATACATAAATCTTTCAAAATATAGTCATAGAAAGCTTTGCGAAAGGATTTAAAATTGTTTCAGTCTTTCTTACGTTTTTTCCTTATTACGATGAAATATAATAAACTTTGTAACTGAGGCAACTTTAAATTCCATATCGCATGTATGTCTTTTAAACATTTTTATACAAAATAGAGAGATTACTGGTAATAAATATCTTTCTGTAATCTCCCTTTATATTCAACATACATCACAATTCTTTTTTTACATTCGGGATTCATTCCTGTATTAATAGCTGAAAACAAGTATCAAATGTGCATAAGACCGGTGATATTCTCTCCATTAATTTTATAATATGCAAAGCCTCTAGTATATATTTCTGTTTTTTTAACTCATTTATAAGTATTTTTGCATTTTCCTCAATACCGATTAAAGATTCATTTACAAAGACATATTCGATAATCTGTTTGTATACAATGTGATCTGGTCTAAACAATGCTGTTAAATCATTTCGGAAAAGTTTCTCCAGTATTAATGATGGTAATAAAATAGTCTGAAAAAATAAAATTGAGTTATGTACATTTTAAGAGTTAACTTTTCGTAGGCGAATAGACAGACGACAATGACCTGCTGTTCTTTAATAAGAATTACTGCTTCTTTGTGCATCAAGACATCCTGAGTGCATAATCTTATGTAAAGGCTTTGTACAAAGCTAATGTGATCTCGTTCGAGCTTCAAAAACTGTTTGAGGATCTAAAATATATATATTATAAAATATATTAAAAATAAGTACAGTATTTAATTACCTATAAAAAAGGAAATAATGCAATTCGTTACAATACCTCCTTAGATGCTAATAATTCAATGAGTTTCTCATGCTCTTTTAATATTATTTTTTCAAAATCAGCCGTATTCGGTTCTATAAGCGCAATTATCACTTTCATCATTTTTAAAACTGGATGATTATCTATTGTGATATGATCTGGCATATTAAATTTCGGCCATTGCGATATTATTTTTTTTACTTCCTGATATTGCTCTAAATTATTGATTTGATTGAATCGTTTCTTAAATAGCTTAAATCGATCTTCCTCTGTCTCACACTCGGCAATGATGTGATCAAGAGAAAGAACGGTTTCTTCTTGTAAAATTTCTTTGGATTTAATTTTATCCTTCTTATCGTTATTTGCTTCCATACTATCATCGGAAAAATCACCCCAATCATCTGTCCATTCTACGGCCTCAATATTATCTGAGATAACTATTTTCAAATCTTCATTCGCCTTAGAATTTGATGGAATATTAGTAACATCAATACATTCTACTGATACTCGTTCTTCATTAATGAATTTTGAGGTTTTCATAGTCTCTTCAGAATGTACATGGGTAGTAATTTGCCCCAGTTCTAATGTATTTATATCTTTTACTTTCACTTGTTTCATACTAGTAATATGTGCTTCACCGAGTAGATGACTTTGCCAATATTGTAATGTTTTAACAATATCACATTCTTCAGACTTTTGTGCTGCAACTAGCATAATTTTCACTAAATCTAATGGACTGTATAAATATAACTTCTCACAATTAGTGTATAATTTCTTATACAATTCTAATGAATAGTAATAGAGCGCAGTCTGCATATACAATTCAGTTTGTGGAAAATCTATAAAGATTGTTTGAACATCTAAGATACGATCTCTGTTTAAACTTAATAGATACGCCATACTAAGTAACCAATCATTTGACATAGTGTGTTTTGCGCATTCTAAAAGCACTGAAATTAATAAAATAATTTTGTAATTTTCGTTACATAAATGTAATTCATTTACGATTAAATTTTTGTTAAATATATTTTTAATAATATGATACTTACAATGATTAATGTCACTTATTTCTAGCCCATAACAAGAGGATTCGCTCAATATGGTTATTCTTAAAAGCGCTTGGCAACATTTTAATTTTGTATTTTCTACGTCTGTCATAGAATATTTATTGTAACTCATCTCATTAACACTTATTCTATATAGTTCGTGTAAGGATTCATAAAAGCATGGAAAACTTTGAAGATTGGTATCTTTCTTGTTTTCCACTTCAAATTCATATTGTGCATTAGTTTCTAATTCATTTTTAAAGTTAAGATTCAATCTAGACTTCCAAAAATTAGTATTACTGATATTTCTTATTAAATTAAATGTAGATTCTTTCATGATGTTAGCTGAATTTTTTACAATTCCTGTTGAAGTTTCCAACATTTTTGGAACAAATTCTTTCGTTTCTATCTGCGGCTATAAATTACATTATATATTTTTTTTATATCTCGCGTTATACATATATGAGAAAAGTATTAAAATTAGTATCGGTCATTAAAGTAATTTCTTTTACCGTTGTCATAGCATCTGTAAAATCATCTTCGCTTGTATCACTTTCTTCATCTTTTAAATTTTCAAATTCCGCAACGGGCATCCACAGTTCCAAATTCTTATGTAGCATTTGTATTTCTAATAAATACATATGTTCTAAAACATTACCCAATATATCACTAGGACCATTATTTACAGCAAACCATAGACACTTTTGTCTAATTTTTAAATCCTGATAATTATCACAACGTCCCAAATTTAAACAAATTTCCCAAGCAGGAAGATAATTATTTTCTGCTAATTGCATACATATCGTGGCACATGTATTATAATCTTCAGTCTGCGGAATAAGAAATATAATAATGATATATATTATACCAATCTTTACGTTTCACTTTTCAAAGAAAATTCTTAAAATTGGATTATAAGAAAACGTAAAGAAGATAACTATATATCTCACCTCAAATGCCTTTTTAGCTATTAGTTCCGAAATTTTTCCTTCACGGAGTCTACTGTTATTTCCTTCGATTCGTAAAGAAGTTGCTAACATTAATAATCTTTGTTGATTTTTATAAGCATCTTTTTGATTATTTAAACAGCGTTCAATTAAGTTTAATCTATCCATCATTAATCTAACTTGAAGAGGTAATATATCGATATTAAATTCATTCAGTATTTGAAGCGATTTAATAAGATCGTATTCTTCTTTAATGTTTACATTATCATCTTCAATAAGATCCAAGCAAGTTCTAAAACAATTTACATAGATTATATTTCAGAACAAATTATTATACTTGTATATATGTAATTGCCATTATGTTAACAAGAGATACTTACTTAGCTAATTCCATGTGTGGATCGGTAAGCGTTCTTGAACCATTAAAATATTCTTTGGACGCTTCTAATATAAGATCAACTGCTTTCTCATAGGATACTTTTAACAAAGATTTTTCATTTTTCTTGGTTTCTATTAAAGTGACACAATTACGAATAATACATTTAATTCTGGAAAGTAAACGGGCCGAAACACATATTTCGAAGCAGGTTTCAACAGCGATACATGAAAAAATCAATCCATGTATCTCTAACATATCGTTTAATAATTGCGCCCATTCCCTTTCATCTGGAGGTATCAAACTGAAATAATAAATACATTGTCCCTCATATCTATTATAAAAATCATTAAAAATTTATAAATATTATACGCTTAACTCAACCTTTTATTTAAACTAGTTGCCGTTCGAATTAACAATGATTTAGCAACATCAGGATCGTTTCTGTTCTTTTGTATAAATTTTAACGTTGTTTTTACACCGTATTTGCTTAAAATTCTAACACAATCAAGTTCTCTTTCACATTCTTCTAACGACATATCATATACATCTGCTCGTGTTGCGTTTGACCTTTTTTCATCATGATCTTTCGATATCGAATCTAGAATATCTTTAGCTTTTTCATACATATCAAGATCGTCACAAGCATATATACAATCTAAAGCTAAAGTAACAACATCATCTATCAATCCAATTATTTCAATGTCCTGCGTCTGTTTTAAATACTCAAAGAATTTAACTGGAAACGTCAAATCGTCTTTGCTTAAACAGATTAGATAATCACTTAGTAAGAATTTCTGAAGATCTCCATCCTAAAATTTATATAAAAATTTATGTAAAATTCATATAAAAATAATATTATACTATATTAGATCACTGAAATTATATACGTATACATATAATTTCAATAACCTAAATTTTGCTATACACACCAAATATTGATGCCTTCGTTTAATAAAAGGCAATAAAAGATTCTTTATATTTTCAACAAAATTTATTTCATTTGATGTACTCATCAAAAGTTTTATCTTCTCCATGTTGCTCATTTTCTCTAATTTATCTAACGGCATATCCTCCAAATGTACTGTATACACAAGATCATCTAAAGTTTCCAAT